CTCTTCTGAAGAATGAAACAAATAGTTATTTCTCAACTGAGGAATATTTAACAACTCAGGTCCCTGGAGGAGAAGGCCTATTTGCTTAGACAAGGAAGAAAAATCAGAGCTTTTTGGTTTGTTTACTTCTTTGTGCACCTTTATAAATATTTTATTAACAACATATCTATCTGTACTATATTTACTGAAATTATCATTACCGCTCTGTCCATTTCTTTTTAATTAAAAAACATATATTACTAAGGAGATATTAAACTCCTTTTAGTGTCATTATCCAAAAGTGCCCACCTCTCTTAAAGCTTGAAGTCCAAGGTAAAACTCAGCTGCAATTTTATGATGAAAGAAAATGTCCGTAAGGATAAGACCACCTGCAACACAGTGTCACACACTCTGAGGAGCACTGTGTGCCCGTGACACAGAAACACAGGCTTCCCTGCTGTCAGTGCCTCCCCTGGGGAAAGATCCCGTAAGCAATTAAAAAAAAATGCCGAAACTGTTTAAGAATCCTATATAATAAAAGCCTAATATGCTAAGTGTCCAGTCATCAGTGACTGGCCGACTGTTCAACCAATCAAGGGATAATATGCTAATGATATGCTAAAGCTGCTCAACTGCTCACTATGACGTGCACTGACCACAAGGGAGCATACAGTTGATCGGTTGACCAGTCACTACAAAGTGCACTAACCACCAGGGGGCAGATGCTCCGACTGGTAGGTTAGCTTACTGCTGGGGTCCGGCTGATCAGGACTGGGTGAGATGGGGCTGGACATGCCCTGGAGCCCTTCTGTCGTCCCTCCCCAGCCCCAATTGCGCACTGTAGGGTCCCTTGGCCTGGCCTGTGCCCTCTTACAATCCAGGACCCCTTGGGGGTTTCAGCCTGATCCTGCAGGCCACTCCCCTTGGGAGGGCACCCAATGGCTGGTGAGCACTGCTGTGGTGCAAGCCTCTCCCAATTGGGGCTGATTGGGTGCAAACCCACGGAAGGTGCAGTGGGGCCAGGATGAGTAGGAGTGGAAGGTAGAATACAGGCAGCATTGGGTTGTGGGTTTCAGCCAATCTCTGCAGGCCACCCCAAGAGACCCCACCAGTGCACGAATTCATGCACCAAGCCTCTAGCGTACTTGTAAGTTTTCACATCAACTCTTAGGAAAACACTTACTGCAAGAAACATAAATGTTCAAAAAAGATCCTAGTCTAATGGGGACCAAGCCAGCTATAAAAATAATTACAATAAAAAGATAAATAGTAAATGCCACAAAAGATGAGATATAACAAAAGAATTCAAAAAAAGTGCACTCATCACATTTTGGGGGTTATCTTAGAATGTAAATTGAGATATACTCAATGTTTATAAAATAAAAGAGTTAGCCAAAACTGGTTTAGCTCAGTGGATAGAGTGTCGGCCAGTGGACTCAAAGGTTCCAGGTTCGATTCCTGTCAAGGGCTTGTATTTCGGTTGCGGGCACATCCCCAGAAGTAGCTGGTTGAAGTTTCTCTCTCATCGATGCTTCTGACTTTCTATCTCTCTCCCTTCCTCTCTGTAAAAAATCAATAAAATACTTTTAAAAATAAAATAAAAGAGTTAAATTTATAGTATTTTTTAAACTTTCCACTGTTTATTTCATGTGAAAATTCTGGCTTCATTTCATATCAATATTAGAAGTAGGAGAAAACTATAGAATATGCTCTAATTTTTTACGTGATAATATTACAAGGAGACAGAGTTCTTCAAACTAATTTTTTTAATATTTAATCAAGGGCATGCTTATAGAGGGGAAGGGAGAGGGAGAGTGGGAAGAAAACAGAGAGAGAAAGGAGGAAGGGAGAGGGAGGAACATTGATCGTTGACCTTCATACCTGCCCTGGCTGGGGCAGAACCTGCCACCTGGGTATATGTGCCCAGGAATCTAACAGGCAACCCTTCGGTGACTGGACAATGCCCAGCCAACTGAGTCACTTGGGCCAGGCTCAAACTAATTCAACACCACATGTTATATGCTAAGATTGTCAATAATGGTAATACAACAGGTATGTAAGCTAATGTATCTCAACAGGGAAAAAGCTGTATGATTAAGAGGTACAGAAATAAGTGGACATTATTAAGGAAGATTTGTTCTGAGATTAGGTTTGAGTGCATTAAGTGAAAAGCAAATATTACTGGTCATGGCCCCAGGGCAACAAGAGGACAAGTATTAATTTATCACTCATTTGCTTTATGGGGATGATCTGAAGACCTAAGTCATCTGGGAAACACTGCATTAGCTACTGACGATCACCAAGAATTTAACGATGTGTAAATACAGACAAATACCAGTTTTGAACGATGGTGAGAGGACAGCTCACTGAGGCATCAAATTATAGATCTGGCAAAAGGATGCTGGAAAGGTCCTGACTTCTGTAATGGGAAGTTAACTGTGGAACAAATGCATGCTGAAGCAAACATCACAAAGCAGGAAAATGTTACAAACCCACCTCAACATAAGCAAAAAGGTTCCTTGTAGTCACATCTGTCATGGTAAGACTTACTAACTGTACATCAGAATCACTGGGCCACAGTTTAAAAATATACAGGTAAGACCACAATTTTCTTAGTTCCAAATCAAAAAGCTAGAGATTACAAATATGATGGATTGCCTTTTACCTTAAGTAAAAAGACAAAATACACATCACCGACATTTGAAAAGAAAAAACACAGTATAAACCTACAAAAAACTCCATAGGAAATTCAGATAGATAACAAGTATAGTTCCACTGCACCGAAAGTATCTACTTAGCCAAGTTGGAGAACAAAAATACTTAATAATAAATGTAACACTAAAAATCTGTGATATTAGATCCATACTGAATACCAGCAAATCTTTCCCCCAAACTATAATTACCTTCATTGTGTACACCAATGTAGCCCCATAAATAAAAACATATTTGTAAACTTCATTTAGAAACTTCTTACATAAACAGTCTGTTGGAAAAATAGTGGCGTGCTAAAATTCATTTAAATAAAGCCAGTTTTCATCTTCTCAGATGGGGCCAGGGGCTAGTACACCGACTGATCTATATACTCTGTCCTTCATCCAGTGACCGTACGGTACTTCCAGAAACTCACCATGAAACCTGAACACTTTGCTCTCTAAAAAAGATCACTGAAATGTTATTGAGTCAAGCAACATCTTATTTATCTGTGAGTTAGCAAAGAGGGGGGTGGGGGGGAGAGAATACCAACTAGGGTAACACTTAACACTTAAGAAAGAAAACAAGCTATTATATGATATGCATACAAATAGAGTAATTCAGAAAAACTTAGACTATTGATTAACATATTGACTTACTTCCTGAAATGTTTCAGGTGCTTCACCAATAGTCATCAACTCAAAAGGCACCACCCAGAGCAGGCTTCCTCACAGTTCTCTGGGGCTCCCACTCATCACCCCCGCCCCGAATCTGAGGGGAGCTAGCCGAACCCATCAGGGCGGAGGAGACGCACAGCCCATGGGTGAGGCCACAGTTCCGGCAGATGTGAGGAAAGCAGAACATGAAACCACTGTGAAAGCTAACAGAACACCTGTATCCGATATACACAACCATGTCTCTAACCTGCATATCAGTGTGTATCACCAACCAGTGACAAGCCTCCAAAGTCAGCTTCTCTGAGACTTAAAAACTGGGGGGAGGAAGAAAGTGAATTCATGTCCATCTGTTTCCCAGGAGTCAAATTCCTAAAACCAGGAGCCAATTTCTAAATACTCAGCAAACGCTCCATTTAGCAACAGTGTGTGTGCATGAGCGAGCACGCGCGCACATGCGCGCACGCGTGCGCACACACACACACTACATGCTCTCCAAACCTGTGGTTTATCTGATAAAGAAAAAAGCTTATGGGATAAAACACAGAATCCATCACCTTCCTCATTCCTTCCAAAACCAAGTAACTATACAATAAATACTCCAGGGTGAAAAGAACACGCCACAATAAATGCCACCCACCACAAAAATAAAAGCTATAAAATTAGGGTTTCGAAAACATGTGCACCAGATTTAGAGATCCTGGCCATCCTGTGGACATCACTTACCTTCTTCCCTCGGGCTACGTGCACATGGAAAAACGGGCACGGCATGCCTGCCAAATGCCATGTGTTACATCCATTACCAATGCTGCTCTCAATGTTCAGAAGCAATATAATAAATCGTACTTAATGTAAACATATTTAATATCGTAGTTAGCCTGAACTCCCACCTGAAATAAAATGTCTTAATAGAGATTAAGCAATAACAATAATTCTTCAAACCAAAACATTTTAACAAGAAAATATAAATTTTGCACAGATGTATTATTTTAGTTTATAAGGCAAACCTCATTTATTGTAAATTAGGCTGTTTATTAAAAAAGCAAATTAAGCACAGATGAACTATTTATGAGCATCAGCATTATACCCTATAACACAGCCCTACTCTGGTCGATCAGTTATGTCAGCCACCATATAGTATTTGCTGGTGGAAATACTTATATGGAGCTTTTCCCAATTTTAAATTAAAATACTTTTTTAGGGTGAAAAAGACTGGGTGATATCTCAGTATAGAAAGTCCCTGAAGAAATTCAAACCACCACCAGATGCTTTATCTCATCAGTTATACCCTTTGCCTAGTGGGAACTCCTTACTATTGAGCTCCTACAAAACCTCCCTCAGGTCTGTACCGCGACCAGAGAGCAACAGGCTATACCAAGCACAGCCACACTACACAGAAATCTTTCTGCCATAAACCCGCAGCAACCAAACCTTCCAGCTGGGCTCTGAGACACGTACAATGAAACAGACTCCTCCAGATTTATGCTCAGGCCTACATATTTCCTAAGAATAAAGCCCCTAAAAGAAATCACAGATATATCTGAAATCTAGAAACTTCTCTTCTAAGCCTTAATATAAAGTAGAACAAACAAAAACAACAGCTTTTAAAAAAATTTTAACCCCTGACATTTCCAAGTCAGCACATTAATGTCTTACTGGTAAACTTGACGGCCTTTCTTGCTGAATCAGGTTCAAGTCTTCATGGTTAGGTTTCCCAGGAGCCAGAGGAGGTTGAGACCTAGTTCCATAGCCTTCCTGAGACATGTCCTAAACAGACACAAAGAGAAAGCACTTCATAAATATCGCAGTGTGTTTCAAGCTTCTTCCGTAACCAAAATGAAGAAAGGTTTATCAGAGACTGTCAACTCATGTTACCTGTAAGCAGGCATAAAATGTTACAGCTATCACTTCTTAATACTTTATATAAAAAATAAAAACAAAAAGGGCAGTGAGCTGTCCAGAGCACAAACATATACACATCATTAAGAACTAAAGTGATGATGGGGCCCCATGAACCAGAGACCGTATTTGAGTTTTGCAGGAAGATGACCAGTCAGTAAAAATGGGAGGAGGGCAGCTATAACCAACTTCCTTCTAAAACAAAGCAAACCAAAAGCTATTTTAGTGTGTGACTCAGATTTTGATGGTAATGTTTGACTCTGATTTTGAGTGAACTGCCTTTAATATTACCTTGAACATGTTAAAATAATTAATGAAAACTTTATTATCAACTAGCTTTTAATATGCCCTCTCAATAACCCACAAAACAACGTTAATTATTAAGCTCACAGTATCCTGGGGATTCTACAAAAAACCAATAAACACAGCACTTACAATTCCTATGCTCACGTGGCTCCAGAGAACCACAATAAAGAATAAAACAGCAGTGGGGGACAAAACACGCCCCCAAACCTGCTGAGGTACCAGGAACTTATCATCAGCATGGCCTCCCTGACGTCCCGGGGAGCACTTTTCCAGGATGTACGCAGCGTGGCCTCAGCAGCGAGCTGGAGTGACATTATATAAGCCAAATGCCACGCTACGCCACACCGAGCTCACTAGCACCAGGCCTCTCGCTGCTTAACTGTGCCTGCTCTCTGAGCCACTGCTCCGGAGCCAACAGCAGGACGGAATGCGAAATACTTTATTACACAGGTCTTAACTGGCGCTCAAAGTTGAAGAACCAGTTTCTGAGTGAAGAGGGAGGAAAAAGTTCTCTCCCTTTCCCTGTCAGTGTAAATGTGTTAGAATTAAAGAAATAGGACGTTCTGGTTCTCCTGTTAAATCCTCAAAATAATACTTCAAAAATTAATCTTTATTTTAAAAATTAAGGTTTGTTAGGTGAAGCCCTATAAAAAGCATTTGCCGCCCCACCCCTTTCTCACACAGCAATGCACTTCAATTACACGCTTTTGAAGCCAAGAAACTTCGGGCCCATCGCTGATCCTACAAAGCACACAGGCTGCACAGACGAGATCTAACCAGCCAAGTGCGGAGGCAGCCTGCCTTAGCCAGGCTCTGCGAAGGCAGGCCCAGCAGCGTTTCCCAAGCAGCCCTTCTCCCCTTTAAATAAATCCACACATGGTTAACCAAGAGGGCTAACCTCGACCAGTAACGCATAACGCATAACGCCCTGTCAGCAGCACTCCGTAAGGGAATCAAACCCAAGGCGTCCAGGCTGTTGACCTATAAAAGGCAGGTGAGCACATGCAACCCAGGGGTACTTAACAGGGTAGCTGTTCCTCCCGGCTGCCAGCAGAGGGTAACAAGGGGGCTGGAGGGGACCAAAGCCAAGGCTGAGAGATTATGGCCCCTCTCCCGGCCCCCTCCCCCCAACCCCAAGTTTCCTCGCGATCCCAGACTTCCAGTTGTCACACGGCTTCCAGCTGGGCGCCCGCGAGCCTTTAGATTAGCGGGGAGGATTTCCAATCAAGCAGGGCACAAGGCCTCCATTCAGGCCTCACCCTGTTACAAACCCCACAAAGTGCAGGACAGCCGCACAATGGGCAGACAAATGAGCAGAGCCTGCTCCACACACACTCACTCTCACACACACACACACACACACACACACACACACACACACACGTTCCCAGCTTTCAGACACTATGCTAGTCACCTTCCGGTGAGAAACAGAACAGCTCATGTGCCCGTGCTTGTTATTAGCCTTCCAAATTTCTTTGTGTTTTCTTTTGTAGCTGAATGAACTGATTATTTTTAAAGTTGAAAAAGACCATTACAACTATAGTGAATACACATTTCAATTTAGACGCTGTCCGCTGTAAAATAAGCAACACTTAACAGACTGAGCTATGAGAGAATGATACGGCTTTAAAAGTTCAAACTAAGTAGATTCCACCGAAGCCTCCCAACCACAAGAGGCTTTCCATTATTAAGTACAGTTGGGGTTGGGAGGGAGGGGGACAGTGAGAATCGCTGAAAATGAAACCTGTTCGCCTCAATTTTACATTTGAACATAAGCATGAATTTCACTGAGAGAACATCCGGAAAGGTCCCGGTTCTGAAGGAAGACAATCATCTCCACGTGGCTCACACGAGGACTGGAAGTCTGTGCTTGGCGCTGTAACAGAGGCAGGAGTTGCATCTCCTAGCAAACCCGAGGTTCCCCCTCCGAGCACTTTCGCTTTCTGGTACGGACTATTTTCAGTTCGGGAAGAGGAAAAAGAGCAATTAATTTACCAGCAAGAAGAGGGCCATGCCAGATCACAGTCTACAGCACAGCGCCCAGGGTTAGAGCAGCACCAGCCCTGCTTCTGACAAGCTGACACATAGCACACTGGCCTGGGCGCTGGTGTACACACACACGCGCACACACACACATTCACACACTCTGCCACAGAGCACACTGGCCTGGACGCTGGTGTACACATACACACACACACACACACACACACACACACACACACTGCCACAGAGCACACTGGCCTGGACGCTGGTGTGCGCGCACACACACACACACACACACACACACACCCATGATAGCCACCTGCCCCACACACAAAGCCGTGCCTCTAACAGAATATCACACTGGGTATTTCTCCTGTCTGCTTCATGCCACTTCCCTTTTAGAAAAGACCTACAGTGGCACCTGCTTTTGCTAACAGAAAAAAATCAGGAGTTTTCCCTTTTCAGGGAAGTGAAAACAGCAGGCAGCGACTGTTTCATGCGAGCCATTCCCCAGGCAGCAGCGCCTGCGGCCAGAGGCCCGACTGCTCCTTCTGGAGCCACGTCATCTCCCCCGCCTCCTAAGGTGACCAAATTGTCCCACTTTTGAACAATTTTTCCCGCGTCCCGTGGCGTTTTAAAAAACTCCCTATTTTTGGAAAGATTGGAAAGATTCTTTCCAAAAATCGGGACTTTTTTAAAACGCCGCGGGATGCGGGAAAAATTGTTGAAAATCAGGACTGTCCTGCCAAAAGCGGGATGATCTGGTCACCATACCTACTCTGTTTCCCCGAAAATAAGACAGTGTGTTATATTAATTTTTGCTCCCAAAGATGCGGTAGGACTTATTTTCAGGGGATGTCTTATTTTTCCATGAAGAAGAATACGGTACACATTTATTGTTAAATGAAAATAAAGGAAATTTATTACCTGTATACGGTATGGTAGTACGGTAGTTGTCAACACAAACCAGACAAACTGTGAATCCTACAGTATCAAGAATTTACTCATTTATTCTATGTCAATCATGTCATCATCTTCTGGAACATCATCATAACAATCCAATTCCTGAATTTCCTGTGACTCCATTTCTTTCAGAATCAGTGGACCAAATCTCTCATGTTTAGCCTGGGGGGAGGGGGGGCGCTTATTTTCAGGGGATGCCTTATATTTCACTCAGAAGAAAACCTGTAAGTAGGTCTTATTTTCGGAGGATGTCTTATTTTCGGGGAAACACGGTAGGCCTCCCCTGCCAGGGCATGGCCAGTGACACGCGCCTGCGCTTTATCTTTGCTTATTCTGTGCACCGTTCGCAAGAAGCGTCCGAACCCAATCACAGACAACGTTCACGCGAGGCTCCGCGCTGCCTCCTGTCTGCCTGCGCCTCCAAAGCTGGGTGGGGCCTCAGCCTTTAGGCCAGGACTGCACGCTGACCCCAGAGGGTGGTGACTTCCCAATCTCTCCTTCCAGGCCCGTGTCTTCACCACACTCTGAACCTCTCTGCTGAGGGGGGGCCCACGCACTCATTAAGTCCAGAAATGACTCTCCTGACTGTCCTCCTAACACCTGACCTCCTGCACCATCCACACCCATTGACGCTTCACCAAACCCAATCACTGCCAGGTCCACCCCCTTCCCTTCCCCACAGCCAGCACTTCACTGGCCGCTTTGTGCCACACTCGCTGGCCCACATGTTCGCACAGCAGACATGCTAGACCACAGATGGCATGGTGCACTGCGTGGCCGAGGCCGCCTCCTCGGTGCCTGCACAAGGAAGTCCAGGCCTTGGTCTGGCACAGAGCAGCTCATAAAATACCCTCCAGCTGCACTGCCTCTCGTGGGCACTGCATGTCCCTGGCTTCACCCACTGACTGCTCAGGGCTCCCCCAGGCCACGTGTCTGCATGTGGCTCTGTCTCAGTCTCAGTCCCAAGTGGCTCTCCTTCCCTCTGCATCTGCAAAGCATCTGGCTGTCCTCAAGATCCCGGAGAAATGAACTCCACATCACACAACCACCTCCTGCCGACTCTCCCGGAAAGAACTCCCGATGCTGTGTTTTAACTATTTGTGTGTGTGTCTCCTGCATGGGAGTCTTACTTCCTCATGGATGCCATGCGGAGCCCTCAATAAGAGCCGTGAATGACTGACTGAGTGACTTCTCAGAGCTCACACTTGGAACCAGACACAGCAATACAAAGTAAATGTATGAGGATAAACACATAACACTGAACAAAACTTGGGCTCACGTCCAAGAATATTTATCATGTTAACAGCTACATTGCCTGGTAGCAATGTGCTACAAAACACATTTTGTTGTTTGTTACTGGCAGTCTTATGGCTAAAGAACGCAGTAAAAAATATCCTGGAAATTAAGAGGGAAAAGACTATAGCAATGATCAGTAGTGCCAAGAAAGAGAAAAGACTAGATATTGTATGCCTCCTCATGAACAAGCCAGCAATGAAATGTTCTTGGCCAAAATCATTAATAAGTTTAACAAAACCTCGGTCTGGTACAGAGCAGCTCATCAAATACCCTCCAGCTGCACCTGGCCTCTCAAATAATAAAAATGTATTATGCTAATT